TCCTGTCCAAGGTTGTTACATATCTTATTGATGGAACTCTTTCTCCTGCCCCCACCTGAGAATAGAGGAACAGAGAGAGCCCCATTTCCCCATGACCTTGCTATTACTTTTAAGTGATTGCAGTTCCAGTTGGTGTTATAGTAATCCAGTGTTGCATGATACCTATTTTTGCCTTACTTTATACTCCTTATGTTAACTACTGTGTTTGAGCACCTTCACATATGTTTCTTAGCCATATCTATTTTCCCTTGGCTAGTTTAGATCCAGATTTATTACGAGAAGTATCTGTTGGAGACAGCTTAGAAATGGAATGGAGTGTAATTATGTTAAAGAAAATAGGAGGGTATAGAAGAGGAAACTGGGAGACAAAGGTAGAGAAGAGGAGAAGACTTCTCAGATCAAACTTCTAGACCCTCCTAGGAGCCTGACCCCTTCATTTTTCCAGGATCAGATTCCATAGGCATCACCCCCAACACCTTTTATTCTCTCTGAACCAGATCCATTTCCCTAGGTCCCAATTCCTTCCAAATAATTTATTTAACAAGGTCTTGTTTCTCAAACATCATATTTGTACACACTTAAACCAGAGGTCAAAAAGAGACTTTGCCCCTAACCGGTTTGGCTCAGTGGATAGAGCATCAGCCTGTGGACTGAAGGGTCCCAGGTTCGATTCTGGTCAAGGGCATGTACCTTGGTTGCAGGCACATCCCCAGTAGGGAGTGTGCAGGAAGCAGCTGATCAATGTTTCTCTCTCATCGATGTTTCTGACTTTCTGTTCCTCTCCCTTCCTCTCTGTAAAAAAATTAATAAAATCTATTTTTTTAAAAAGAGAGAGACTTTGTCCTGGTAGTTAATTTTCTTTCAGATGGAACCATCTCTACTAAGTGTAGAAGGTAGTGTGTTAGCAAATCTATAGTGGGAGTATTACTAATATTCAGCTTTGAGTGAGTCATCATAAATGATCATCACAAATATGGGAAGTTCTTTTAATTTCATGATCTAATGACATTTTGGAACCATGGTCCCCTGTCTTTGGTTGTCACATTGAGGGAAGCCAGCTGACATGGCATAAGGACATCCCAGCAGCTCTAGAGGTACCTGTGGGAGAACTGAGACTCCTGCCAAAGGCCATAGAGGCTCCCTGGGAAGTGGGTTTTCCAGCTCCAGCGAAGCCTTCAGATGAGATCACACACAGCCTAAGCTGCTTCTTTTTTTTTTTTTTTTTAATATATTTTATTGATTTTTTTACAGAGAAGAAGGGAGAGAGATAGAGAGTTAGAAACATCGATGAGAGAGAAACATCGATCAGCTGCCTCCTGCACATCTCCTACTGGGGATGTGCTCGCAACCCAGGTACATGCCCTTGACCAGAATCGAACCTGGGACCTTTCAGTCCGCAGGCCGACGCTCTATCCACTGAGCTAAACCGGTTTCGGCCCAAGCTGCTTCTTGACTCAGCCGTGCATGAGAGCTAACCAGGAGTTGCCTCCTGCGCACCCCCCAACTGGGGATAGAGCCCACAATCCATGTATGTGTCCTGACTGCTTTTTGAAATGGTCAGCTGGACCTTTGGTTGTGGTGTATTATTCTGAGGCTTGGGCTCAGCCAGCCTCCCTCCTGTAACTCATCTGTGAGATGCATGTTGGTACCTTTTCCCAGGAGAGCATTTTGAACATACTAGTACATGAGAATGTGAATCAGAAGCTAGTTTTCAGCCTTAATTCTAAATGAGAGTGATTTCTGTCAAGTGTTCTTCTTAATGAGAGTTGATTGGTTGAGCTAAGATTGACATTATCTAATAAAAGAGTAATATGTAAATTAACCATCACTCCACGACAAAGATGGAGGCGCCCATAGTGACTGGGGCGGGATGCTGGCTACGTCGCCCCAGGGACTCGAGCACAGCATCCGAGCCCCAGCCGCGTGGAGGGAGGGGAGAGGAGGAGCCTTGGGCTGGAGGCTGGGGCGACACAAGCCCAGCATCCCCGCCCCAGCCGCGTGGGGGGAGGGGAGGGACCTCAGGCCGGAGGCCAGGCCCAGGGATGCTGGCATCGTTGCAGGCCAGGCTGAGGGACACCCCCCCCCCCCGGGCCCGAATTTCGGGTTGAGGGACACCCCCCCCCCCCCCCGGGGAAAATTTTGGGGGGTCGTCCATCGGGCCTCTAGAAGAATATAATATTTCTTTTTTTCCTTCACACAGTTGTTGCAGGAGAAGTGGAAGTGAGGGTGATAGATATTGAGAATTGGTACATAAGATGCTGTAGGAAATCAGGAAAGCAATGGGAGAGCAACACCATTTGTGTAGAAATTGTAGTTGTTTCTGATCTTCTTGCCAACCTGTAAGCCCCATGATTCCAGGGACTCTGTTATCTCTAGCACCTGCAAATGCTTAGCATCTCAACTTCCATGCCCTGAGGAATGTGTGTGGCTGGGTCCTAGGAAAACTTGACTCTGCAACATTCCTGCTGAAGGAGGAAAGCATCCTGAGTAGGAGAGTAGAGTGCAGAGAGGAAAGAGGAAATATGGGGTGAGAAGACATGCACAAGCTGACTCCAATGCCTCAGAAAACAAGGAAGAATGTTAATAGCATGACAAAAATCAGTCTTACTGGCACATAATGGGTGTAAATTAGAAAAATATGAACCAAAAGGACAGGAATTCTGAAGTTCAACTTCTCCACCAACACGATTGCCTTTCTTTAGGATTATCAATAAGCTTCTGCACATTGGGAACTCTAATTATTCACACACTTAACACCATGTCGCTAAAGACTAAAACTTCCAAATTCACCTGAAGATGGGCATATGTATTGATCAATGGTTGTCTCACTGCAAGTAGGGAAATCTAGCCCAGCTGGCATGGATCTCTCTCATCATTGATGTTTCTATCTATCTCTCCCTCTCCTTTCCTTTCTGAAATCAATAAAAATATATAGTTTTTTTAAAGTAGGGAAATCTAAATAGTCTAATTAATACAATTGCATCAGTTTGTCCATCACACTTCCTTTGGTAGGTGGTTGTTTAGTTTTCACAACAAAGGGAATGTGGAAATCTTGTTCAGCATCATCAGCCTAAGGTTACAATCCTTAGAAAACATTGGGAGGGGACATGGGCCTTGGAGTGAGCAGATTTGGATTCGAACCTCAACTTCCACACTAGCCCCCTCCCGGTCTGATGGACCCGTGCCTGTCATTTATGTTGAGGGGTGGAGGAGAAACAAGTTTCCCTTCCTGCCAACACTGTTGCTTTGGATTTTTATTCCTGGCCTCTAGAGTGGTGCTGACCCTGCCCTGCCCCGTCCCTGGAGTTGGCCTACTGGGCATGGCTGACCCTGCACCTGTCCCTGTGTCTCATCTTGAAGTGCTTCTGGTGCTCTTTAATTTCTTATTAAAATCAGTCCATAAACAGTTTGTTAAAAGCTAGTGTCTGAATTTATCTTCTCTTCTGCAATCTCTGATCTGCCCTTAGTCCCATCCAATGTATGTTTTATCTCAGACATTGTAGTTTGTAATGTTAACGTAAAAAAAACATTGAAACCTGTAAAGAACTTTTGTGAGTTTATTTGAGCCAAACTGTCGACATATGCCGGGAAGCAGAACCTCAACAAATTGAGATAATGCTCAGGAGATTGGCGGGTTACATCTGTATTTATACATTGCAATCAAAGGAAAGGGATGTAGGTGGGTTACGTGAAATCCATTGGTGATAGACTAGAGAGGTGGGAGAAAGCAAAGTGGGGAAACCCCTGGGATTGGATAAAAAGCAAAATGATGGACACATACTTAGGTGGGTGCAGGAACAATTAACATGATAATGAAGGAATTTGTGCTATCTGTCCTGGTGCCCAGCACATTAGGTTGTACCCCAAGGGGTCCAGAAAAAGGGAAGTTACAAGTTACCTAGACATTTCAAAGGGTATGTTATTATAGATGCAAAAAGACAGATAGACTCAGTTAAGGTAAAGGTTGACCTTGTCAGTGAAGATGTAACTACCCACCATAACTGCTTTTAGTTAAAGTTTAATTTCAGTAACCATCCTTTGTGGTTACTTTAGGTCTCTGAGTTTGCAAGACTGCCATGCAGGCCTCCCCTGAGCTTGTCAGGTTAGCATGTGGCCCCTTTTGTCCATAGGTTAAAATGTGTCTAATTTTCTGTGTGATATAATTTACCAATATATCTGGGTGCCATAACAAATACCAGAGAGTGGATAGTTTAAATAAAAGAATTATTTAAACTAGAGGCTAGAAGTCTAAGATCAAGGTTCCAAGCAGATTCGGTTTCTGGTGAGATCCTCTTTGTGGCTTGCAGTCAGTTGCCTTCTGTCTGTGTCATCACTTGGCCTTTCCTTGGTTTGTTTGCATCTTAATTGACCATTCCCACTGAGCTTCTCTCTAGCCTTAGGCTCAAAGGCCTTAAGGTCTGAACCATCTCTGCCCTTCCTGAGGGGAGATATGGCCTGCTTGAGCTTCTCAGGAGCGAAACAGTGTGTGTAGAACCCCTGGAGAATGTTGCACAGTTGGAGCTCAGTGGTTTAAATGGCTTGGAAATGGGGTGACACAGGCGTTTTCAGTAGCTATTGAGCCTTCCTGGGAAAAGTGGGAAAAGGTCTATTACTCCTGTGGTAAAGCAGTAGGTTGGAAAATGGCTGCTTGGGGTAAAAATTCCCTCAATTTGTTGAATCAAAAGATCGAAGTAGAAACTATACTAAGACCAAAGAGAGCAGATGTATAGACAAAAATAAATTTTAAAAACACCCTCAAAAATATTATCTTTTTTTTTTTAATAAAAGCATTCTGGGATGAAGACTTGGGTCAAAGCTACTGAAAATAAGAACTGCCATAACTTTGACTAAATAGTTTTATCTATTGAGCTCCAGAAGTAAACCTTCTCCAGGGTGAAAAGAAGCAACAGCCCGCATTTCATCACAAAACTGGTAGACCTTCCCAAAAAACAAACAAACAAATGAAAAAAAAAATACACATTCTGTTCTGCTTCTTTCAGGTATGGAAAAAATATGACTCAGTTAGATCCAGTAGTACAATCCACTGAGCAACCCCACCAGAGGTGCTGTGGATTTTCTGGGCAGTGAGTGACGTACACATTCCATCAGAGGATATCAGAGGATATCAGCCCTGTCACAGTGTAACAGTGGAACTGTTAGGGTCGCCGAAGGAGGTATGTATGAGGCCAAAAGGAGTAAAGAATTATTAAATTATTAGGTCATCTGGAAAACCAGATGGGCTGAGCCCCAAAATGGCGCCAGCACCCAGAGACAGGGAGTCCAGAGATATTAAAGGACTCTAGGCGGCTTTTTCGGCAGGGAATTCTATGGGCAGGTCTGGATCCTGGGCAAGTCCAGAGGGGAAAGTTACTGGTCTTTGCAAATAGAATGTATCTAAGCAACAGGGAATGTCGGTTGTGAAATGATCAGTTTCCCAGGGGAGGGGATATCCATTTGATTATTTGATCAGACCTACCAGGAACGAGGGAAGCAAGTTTTTAACTTGTTAGAACCCAGAAGGAGATACTCTGTGGCCCTGGAAGAGGAGGTTAAGAAGTCTCAGATTTTCTTGATTGACTAATGAATATTTGTTTCTTCTTTAAATTGTAAAAGCTCCCCAGATCATTAAATTAATTATACAGTTTCTGAAAATTAATAAACCAGCCCTGGCCTGTGTGACTCAGTTGGTTAGAGCATCATCCCTGCACCTACAAAGGGTCATGGGTTCGATTCCTGGTAGGAGCGGGGTACATACAGGAGGCAATGTCTCTCTCTCACATCTATGTATCTCTCTCTCTCTCTTCCCCTCTCCCTTTCTCTCTCATAATCTGAAAAACATATCCTCGGCTAAAGATTAAAAAAAACAAATAAACCAAACCAAGTGGTTTAAAACTTGATATGGTTAAACTCCTGGCAGTGTGAGAGTGGACTTGAGTAGGACCAGACACATCACCAGGGCAAGGACCATCCGGCACATGGTTTCAACAGGCAGTTCTCTCCTCTGCACATGCGGTGCACAATAATACAGTGTGGAAAACATGCCTCCAAACACAGAAGGCAAACTACCTTTTTGAAAATTGATTTTAGAGAGAGAGGGAAACATGGATGTGAGAAAGAAACATCGATCCGTTGCTTCCCATACACACCCCAACCAGGGATCAAATCCACAACCTAGGTACGTGCCCTGATTGGGAATCAAACCCAAAACCTTTTGGTGTATGGGACAGTGCTCCAACCCAATGAGCCACCCCACCAGGGCTGCCTTGTTTTTTAATTAAACTTTTAATTTTGAGGTAATTATACCTTCATATGCATTGATGAAAAATAATACATAGGGCCACAGGTGCCCTCTCCCCTTTTTCCCAGTCATGGCATTGTGCACAATGGTAGTGCAACATCACAACCAGAACACTGCTCTCCCTTCTCCCCCAGCACACAATGGGTTCCTGACGTTCTTATGGCAGGGGAGCACATCCCTACGCCCACGTAGTTTATGGCCATGTTGGACTCTACACATGGACTAGTTGACTTTAATTCACATGGATGCTCTCAATAAACTTTGGTTCCGCTAAAAAGCAAACAAACAAAAACAACCAGGACACTGACACTAATACATTCATGATATGGAACACCCACTTCTGCCTTATTCCTGGCAACCACTAATCTGTTTACCCTTTCTGATTGTCATTTCAGGAATGTTCTATAAATGAAATCATAGAGTATGTAACCTTTTGGCTTTGGCTTCTTTCCCTCAGCATAATTCTCTGAAGAGTCACTCAGGTTGTGCTTGCATATTGACATTTTGTTCCTTTTTATTGCAGAGTGCTGTTCTGTGGTGTGGATGGACCACAGCTTAGCCATTCCCTGGTGGAAGACATCTGGTTTGTTTCCACTGTTTACAAGTAAAGCTGCTATGAGCATTTGTGTACAGGATTTTGTGTGAACATAAGTCTTCAAGGAAGTACAATTACTGCCCAGGCAGCATGGCTCAGTGGTTGAGCATCGACCTATGAACCGGGAGATCACAGTTCAATTCCCGGTCAAAACACATGCCCAGGTTGTGGGTTCAGTCCCCAGTGGACGGCGTGCAGGAAGCAGCCCATCAATGATTCTCTCTCATCATTAATGTTTCTATCTCTCCCTCTCCCTTCCTCTCTGAAATAAAAAAATCCTATATAATAAAGAGGTAATATGCAAATTGACCCTCATGCCATCATGCTATCACAAGATGGCTGCCCTGCCCAGCCCCTCCCCCGACCCTACCCCTGATCAGCCTCTCTCACCCCAATTGAGGGTGGGGGGTTGGCTAGCACAGCCCCTCACCCAGGCAGACCACAGCCCCACACTTTCCTGAGGCTGGGGGTACCCCAGACAGGCTGCAGGCACGGTGTTGGTCAGAGGTAAAGGTCCTGGCTGTCCCTGGCCTAGAGAGTCCAGAAAACCTCAGCAGTGATGAAAGACCAAGACCAAGTGGAAAGGTCCCTGCTGACGTTTATAACTCAAAATACCAGGAGGAGGTGGAGCATCTTAAACCTGCAACCCTGGTGTCTGCACACCAAGCCTGGGGGCACAACATGCTGGTGGTGCCTGTAGGTGAAAGGAGGAGAGCAGGGAGCTGGGTGCAGAGCTGGGAGGGGCCTAGAGTCTTCGGGAGCAGCCTGCCTGCCGAGGTTGCTGTGACCTGCACGTTCAGGCTTGGTCAAAGCCCCTGGTCAGCTCTGCCGCTTGCCTTCCAGGGTGGCTAGCCCTGAGCTGGCTGGCGTTGCACTCAGAGAAGCAGCTGTCACTGGGCTCAGTTAAATAAGAGAAATCAAAGAGCCGAGAGTAAATATCCTCCCAGTCCCTTCCTACCCCCTGGGTGGGGAGGGCTGGGAATGGGGGTAATGGAAAATGGCTGCTGCTTTGCATTTTATAATGAAAAGACTCCTGCTATGTAGAGGGGAGAGCTGATTCATTTCCAGCAGCACGCTCCTGGGCGTGTTCCCTGCCCCAGCCCTGAAGCCTGACAGCACCTAGTAAAGGTGTGTCCACACAGCCACATTGGCCTGGCTCCTGGAACATTGGGAGCAAGTTTGAGCTGCATTGATTAAAAAAAAAAAAAAAAAAAGGTAAAGATTGAAAAACACCTCTTTGTACTCAAATGGCACTATAAAATGCAGATTACAGCATCTGATTTTGTCTTCTGTGTTGATTTTGAGGCAGAGCGCAAATAGGTTCATGGGAAAAGCAGAAAAAAACAAAGGGAAAGGGAGAGGATTCTGCTGTCCACAGCACTGAACGTTGTTTTTTGTTTTTGTTTTTGTTATTTTTCCTTCTGTTCTTCAAGTCAGTACATACCATTTAAACCACTTTAGGCATTAGGTAATGAGCTAATGCTTCCTCTATTAAGAGCAAGCAGTAGTGCTTTTCATATGAGTCACATACATTTAATCCATTCAAATGGAGCACACTGAGTGGAGAGAATGGTATGTGCCATTATATAGGGTGTCCCAAAATTCACGCAAGAAGTAATTTTGATAGAAAACACAGGTTTATAATTAAAAATTGTAAATTTTTTATTGATTCATAAAGTATACAGTATAGGGTTATGTATGGAATAGCACATCGGGTAAATGGCCTCCACAGCTTTGCTGGCACATACGCAAAGCCATGGTCATCATTGGTCTTCATTGTCCCTGCTCCTGGGCCATAATTGGTACTTGGCAATGCTTATCAAATTGAAGGGATTGAAATCAAAGGGCAACAGATATTAGAATCTGATTCAATAAACCAAGTAAAATTAGGCTTTTATTTTTTGTTGTTGTTGTTAATGCTCACGCAAAATTCAAATCTTGTATGAATTTTGGGACACCCTATATAAAGAACTTGGCATTATGATGCTACCTGGCTGAAGACCTTATTTATTTTTCAATTTAGAGAATGTTGACAAATCAGGCATTGGAAATGAATGCGCATGCTTAAATGCATGACTTTATTTTCATCCGTAATGACCAAACGACCGGTCACCAGGAGGTGCATTGGTAGGTCCCGCAACGCGGCGGGTCTGGGGTCTCATGGCGCAGCGGGTCTGGGTGAGGCTGCGTGGTGCGGGCCAGGGCCGGGGGACCCGAGGCCGCACCCCTCGCCCTGATGCCAGGATGTGAGGCTGCGTTCCCCCACCCAGCGGGGCTTGACAGGGATGGGGCCGACTGGGTCTTGGTCTATGGGGGTGGGGCCGGCCGGACACTTCTATTATAGAGAAAGGGCAAATAGCAATATTAAAATATTTCCTCTAATTAATTCCCTTTTAATGTACACGAATTTCGTGCACCAGGCTACTAGTATATGTATTTTTAAAAGTGTAATTACTGAGTTATATGGCAATTGCATGTTTAGTTTGTTAAAAACAAAAACAAAAAAAACCTGCCAAACTGCTTTTCATAATGACTGCACCATTTTTCCCCACCCTCCCCAGCACTGGATGTTGTCCTGATTTTATTGTTACTGTTGTTTTTTAAAGCCATACTGATAGGTGTATAGTAATATCTCACAGTGGTTTTAATTTGCATTTTCCTGATGGCTGAATGTTGAATATCATTATGTTGGAGATCTTTTCATATACTTATTTGGCATCTGAATATCCTCTTTGGTGAAATGTCTTTACATATCTTTTTTCCAGGTTTTACTTGGAGTGTTTGTTTTTTATTATTGAGTTGAGTTTTGAAAGTTCTTTATATAGTTGGGATACTAGTTCTTTGTTGGAAATGGGCTTTGTGAACATTTTCTTTCAGTTTATAGTTTGTCTTTCCATCTTCCTAACATGGTCTTTTGCAAAACCATGCAAAAGGTTTTATTTTTGATGAAAACTAATTTATCTGTTTTTTCTTTTAGATATCATGTTAATAATAGTATGGAGTCTAAGAAATCTTTATTTAGCCATAGATCTTGAATATTTTCCTAAAAGTTTTATAGTTTTGTATGCTGAAACCGGTTTGGCTCAGTGGATAGAGCGTCAGCCTGCGGACTGAAAGGTCCCAGGTTCGATTCCGGTCAAGGGCATGTACCTGGGTTGCGGGTACATCCCCAGTAGGAGATGTGCAGGAGGCAGCTGATCGATGTTTCTCTCTCATCGATGTTTCTAACTCTCTATCTCTCTCCCTTCCTCTCTGTGGAAAATCAATAAAATATATTTTTAAAAAAAGTTTTATAGTTTTGTATTTACGTTTAAGTCTGTGATCCATCTTGAAATGGGGTAGACTGATTCCATCACTTTATTCTTCTTTTTCAGAATTGGTTTAGCTAGTCTAGTTCCTTTGTCTTTCTATATATATATTCTAAAATTTTCTATATCTACAAAATACCTTGCTGGCATTTTGACAAGAATTACATTAAATCTGTATTATATCTATGTGGGGAGAATTGGGATTTTTATTATGTTTATTCTTCCAATCTATGAACTCCCTATTTTTTCCATTTATTTAGATCCTTTCGATTTCTTTCATTACATTTTGTAATTTTCAGCATACATTCAAATTCTATACATGCTTTGTTAGATTCACACCTAAGTATTTTTTTCAGTGATTGTAAATTACATTGTATTTTTAATTTTGGTGTTTTTTCATTATTAATATATGCAAATACAGCTAATTTGTATGTTTACTTGTGGATCCTGTGATCCTGCTAACCGCATTCTAGAGCTTCTTTGGTTGATTCCTTTGGATTTTCTATGTAGAGAAGCCTGTCATCTGCAAATGACAGTTTTCTTTCTCCCCTTCTTATAAATATGGCTTTCATTTCCTTTTCTTTGCTTATTATATTGGCCAGGACTTCCAGCACCATGTTGAAAAGAAGGGTGAGAACAGACCTCTTCACCTTGTTCCTAGTCTAAGGGGAAAAGCACTGTCTTTTCCAATAAGTATATTGTTATCTGTAGGTTCATGTGTTTTATTAAGTTGAGGAAGAGCCACTATATTCCTATTTGAGAGTTCACTTTTTTTTTATCACGAGTGCGTGTTAATTTTATTGATATGCTTTTTCTTTTTTAAGTTGTTAATGTGGTAGATTACACAGATTGACAGTTGAAAATTGAGCCAGCCTTCTATCCCTAGAATAAACGTGGTCATGATATAGAATTCTGTTTATATATGCTGAATTCTATTTGCTATTTTGTTATAAAGTTTTGTATCTGTATTTATGAGGATATTGGTCTGTAGGTTTCCTTTTTGGTACTGTCTCTGTCTGGTTTTGTTATCAGAGTCATACTAGCTTCATGAAATAAATTAAGAAGTGTTCTCTCCCCTTCTGCTTCCTGGAAGATTATGGAGAATTAGAGTTAATTCTTTAAAATGTTTGGTAGCATGCTGCAGTGAAATTATCTGGGCCTAGAAGTTTTAATATTTTGGGCAAAGTACTTGCTTTCTACATATGGTTTGATGGTGTGTCAGTGAAAGTCACTCAAAGAAAATCTGCCGAAACCGGTTTGGCTCAGTGGATAGAGCGTCGGCCTGTGGACTGAGAGGTCCCAGGTTCGATTCCGGTCAAGGGCATGTGCCTTGGTTGCTGGCACATCCCCAGTGGGAGATGTGCAGGAGGCGGCTGATCGATGTTTCTCTCTCATCGATGTTTCTAACTCTCTATCCCTCTCCCTTCCTCTCTGTAAAAAATCAATAAAATATATTTAAAAAAAAAAAAGAAAATGTAAGTTGGTACATATAAACTTACTAAAACTTTAATGATTTTTCATATTTCATACAGTGATTATGTATTTATGCATATGTATTTCCTTTGATCATCATACCAATGATGTGAAATCAATGGGGCAGGATTAGTCTCATCTTTCAATTTTATTTCAGTTAAAGATACAGGCTCAAAGGTTGAATGACTCAGCCAAGTTCACTTAATAAGCTGGGGAGGAGCAAAAACAAGCTTGGCATTCAGATTTTCTGATTCACTTTTTTTTTCCATGATGGGAAATGTGAGATTTATTTGCTTAGTGTTTTTAAAAAATTAAGCTATCCTAGAAAAGGCAGGAGAACATAAAGTGTGTGAAAACTGATTGTCCCTAGTTATTCATAGAAGCATGAGTTCTCAAAGCACTTAATGGTCCC